TTTAATATTTGGGAAGTGGTTGTTCAAGTAGACTAAACCTCATCCTTTTATGTTGGACTCTTTTATATTATGCTGTTCCTTTCCCCGAGACCTTTTATCCTTCATTCTTTGCATCATGCTTAATGCCAAAGGTTCACCCCTGCTCGCGAAGGATCTGATATCCAGTGGGCCTCCTGACTTGCAGGTCAGAGCTTTTTCTTTTATTCCTGGGCAAGTTTTGCAGCCTCTTGTGTTAGTTACCAAACTACTGGGTAGCAGATTATCCCCAAGACTTAAAACAATACACATTTATCATCTCACAGTTTTGATGGGTCAGGAATCTGGGCACAGCCTGGCTGGTCCTCTGTTTTATGGTCTGTCCTGAGGTTGCAATCAAGAGGTCAGCCTGGATGAGGTCTCATCTGAAGTTGGGCAGGACCCACTTTCAAGCTCACTCATGTGGTTGTGGGTGGAATTCAGTTTCTTCTGGGTTGTGGTACTGAGGTCTCACTTCTTTGTGGCTGGAGGCTGCCCTCGGTTTCTTGTGACGTGGACCTCTCCATCATGGCCACTTGCTTTATCAATATCATCGACAGAGAGAGTCTGCTATCAAGATGGAGGTTACAATCTTTTGTAATCAAATCAGGTCAGTCAGTCACATCCCTTCAGTGCTCCCGTATTCTACTGGCAGAAGCAAGTAACTTGATGGGAAAGATTTCATGGTCCCTGAATAACAGGGACCGGGGCCATTCTAGAAGCTGCCTGCCACATCTCTATCTCAGTTTCCTTATTCATAAAATGGGAGAAATAGTAGAATCTACTTCACAGGGATTGAATTAAATGAGTGGATTAAATGAGATAATACTTTCTCCTCAAAGCCCTTTGGTCCCTGGCACATAGGAAGTGCTCAAAAATGTTAGTTGTGTTGCTCTTGTGATATGTTTTTTTAAGCCACTCTACTGATTATTATTACCGTTCTTAGTGACAATAATTACACAAAGAACGAACTCGACATATAGAGATATGTGTCAGGTACTATGCCAAATATTTTACATAAAATTTCTAATTTAATCTTAATGACAACCATCTGAGGTGGGTGCTAGACATGAATGGAGTGAGGAGGGTAACTGAAGCCATATAGCTATCTGGGGGGTGGGGGGGACAGCACATGCAAAGGCCCTGGTTTGTTCAAGGCTGGTATGACTGAGTATAGTGAATGAGCTTGGAGAGATGAGATCAGAAAGATAAGCCAGGCCCAGCTGGCCTGAGGCCTAGGTGATTCTTCACATTTTAGAAGTGTCTTTTAAAATCCTACATTTTGTTTTCTTATCACCCATCAGTAATCAAAACTTTCTGTGACTCCCACTGTAGTCTGGGTAATGTGACTTGAATTTGGAACCTCTGTGTAGCTTCTACCAGTCAGTTTCTCTTTGCTTCAGCACTACCGCTTTTCAAAATCTTAAAAAAAATTAATCTCTGTGCTGCCCCAGGGCCTTTGCACATGCTGTGCTCGCTAACATTCCTTTCTCTCTCTTGACAATCTAACAACACCTGCTCATCCAATACTTCCTCAAGGGAGCCTTCTTTGACCCCCACCATGAGATTAAACCAGGCTCTGCTGGGAAACCTTCTCAAGGCTTTTGTTCTTTGAAGTACTTCTTACATCTGCAAATAACTAATATATTGATGCTCGGTTTAACGCCTGTCCCCTCTGATCATTTGTGAGCTTCCAAAAGTAAGCGTCCTGTATGACTTATTTACCAAGGTCCCCAGCTCTTAGGAAAAGTGCTAGCAAATAGCGCTCAGTAAATAGTCCTCTGTTGAATGGATGGATGTGTATTCTGAGGCAAGACTTGCTCCCACCTTTACTTACCTGCATCTACTTTTACTCACCTGTACACACATTTGCAGATAACACACCAGTGTATCAAATTGGGGTTTTAAAAATTCAGAGGGAGGAGAATGACTTCTGGCAGACTCTGCAGAGGGATGAAGGGAGCATTTGAGAAAGATCCTTGGAGGTGGTGAAGTTTAGAGACAGATGGTAGAAATTAGCTAACCTGTGCTAGGAGCTTAGATGAGGCTGAATCTCTTGGGCTAGGGGTGAGATGAAGTTAACATTTTCTGAGATGAAGCATAGAAAGAGTCTAAACAACAAGAAAAAAGAGAAACATTTGTCCCAAGAAATGCAGTTCCACTGTGAGAGCAGACATACAGATCGTGGGCCAGTCCAAGGGATGGTCCAGAGTCTGCTTTGGGTGTTATCATTGCTGTATTTTCTAACCTGTTACAGTGCCTCCTTGCTGAAAAACTGACCTTTTAGTTTATGTATGAGTGACACTGGCTGCAGTGTCTCTTCTAATGAGAAGGTGAACAGAAAAAGAATGTCTTAAACCCTTCCTATCGCGTTTAATGAGAGAGAAGTTTTTATCTTCCATTTCTTAATGAAATGCTTCAAAAATGACTTTTAAATCAGAAAGGGGAAGCTGATCACGTCTTGTTCTGTGGTTCTGCATCTCCTGAGCTGGGATGCGCCAAAGGGATTGTAACATGACAAGGAAGAAGTTTCTGTGACCACCCCCAGGCATGTTTGTGCTCACTCTTCCTGCTGAAATGATGGCCTCTCTCGTCCCCCAGCTTGCAGTATTTGCATTCTTTCCATCGCCCTGAGATGCTCCACGCTGGTTACATCACTCCATGGCTGTCATCATCTGTCCATCTTCGGGGAAATGGCAGAGTGAGGTTTAGAGAGAAATATGTCTGAAAGGCTTGCATACTAAATGGTCCAAGAAGCACATAAGTATTTTTAGATGATCCAAAATCACAGGCTGTTCGACCTTCTGGACATGTGTCGCTGTTTCATCTGAAAGGGAACCATCGCAAGAGTATCCAGTGCTTAAAATATTCACTTTTTTTTAATGCAAGTTTATCTAAAGTATTTTTTTGACTGGAAAAAAAAAGCCACTCATTCTTTGGATTTCGTTAAAGTAAGAATAAAGGTGTTTGCTTTTTTATTTCTTTCCTTTTTCCTCTGGGTCTGTTCCCGATTAACCTCATAAGCACTTCATAAATCTTGCATCTGGGTAACATAACACCACACAGTGCTTTTTAACCAGAACATTTTGTTTTTTGAGTGATCTGGCGCTGAGTCTTGGAAAGTGGCAGTTCTGTGGAAGGTGGAAGGACTCTGAGCCCTGGCTGGGGCAGAGGCTGCCAGGACACACCGTGGGATCTCTGGAGCGTCACTGGAGAGCTCTCTGTCCTGCAGTGGCACACAGCTTCATAGTCACGTAGACTTACTTCCGATTCCCACTTCTTGCTTTTCTAAATTTTCTGAGTCCTCTGAAATAAAAGCGGTTTCTTAAAGCTCTGTTCCAATTCTCTAAAACACAGAGGTGTCTCTTAATTTCCACCAGATACCAAGAAATTTAATTGAGGATTTAAGTTTGGTAGGTACTATCTAATCAATCTTTGATTTTACTGGGGATAGTGGAGAATGTGTTTATATGATGTATAACCTGCTTTGTCCTAAAAGAAATATGAGGCAATACACATACACATGCACAAAGTAGTAAATAAAATGAAATAATAGGAATAAGTAAATACAGAAGTTTCATATCAGGCAAAATAAAACATATAAAATCAAGAACATATAAAAATTAGTAAACATCACCATGCCCACCTAAAATTGAATTTTAAATTTCACTCTGAGCTTCCTGATAGCCAAAGAAAAAAGGGCATGGGTCACATAATTGGTTTCATAATTCTCATGATCAAGAAAACCAAAAGTATTGCCAATCCTTAGGAGATAAAAGGTACTTCGTAAACTTGAATTTGGAAAGTCATCTGACATAGGGGCATGGAGGGATAGATGAATTATGTAACAAATAGGATGGTTTCCATGGGATAGTACCTTGTAGCATCATTTAAGAAAAACCAAGAAAATGAATGCCATTACAGCAATTCAGTAAAGGGTTTGCATAAAGATACCATGGCCCAAGAACAAGGCATACAGGTAGAGGAAATAATTAGGAGAATCAATCTGCTCTGTAGCATGATTATATAAAGAAATGAATGTCAGGTCACTTTTATAGAGATTGTCCCTTGGGTTGGCCAGTGAGGGGCATGAAAACCGTCCATCTAGACTGGGATGGGCTGGCTGAGCTCTCACCTGGGAGCACCGAGCTCCCATGTGATTCACAGGGACACATTTGACCTCTTGAACAGATTAATGGTTTAGTTGACAGGGACTGCTTAATTTCAGAGCCACGTTATGGGGGTTTCTCAGCCAGAGTGCTGCATGTCTGGCTGTGATTGAGGCTATGCCTCTCAGGCAGGGCCCAGAGCTTTTAATACGCCTTGGACAGAATATTAAACACCTTGTCATGCCTCAGTCTTCTTAATCATTACTAATGATGATAATAAAAATAATGACAATTTTCAAGGCAGAGACGAACAAAGGCAAGGCAGTGAGTCGTAGAGTCGAGCGAGGTGTCACGGAAAGAAAGCTGGAGAGCAGGCCTGCCGTGTAACCCAGGCAGTCCCTCTTCTGCATCTTCAGGTTCTCCCAATTTGTGAGTGAGGCTGTTGCAGGGACTCTTAAAGTGTTGTCCCCTGATCTGCAGCATCAGCATCAACTTTACCTGGGAACTAATTACAAACGTTGGTTTCTGGGCCCCGCTCCAGACCTACTGGGTCAGAAACCTGGGGTGGTCCCCAGCATTCTGTTTTTCAGCAAGATCTCCGGGCGATTCTGGCGTATGCTAGACTTTGAGAACTGCTGGAGCTCAGACTAGGTCTTCTTCCATGACTGTGGTTAGAGTGCTACAAAAACGACCCCAACTCTCTGTCTTTATTTGTATCCACACCTGCTGCACGTCCCTCTTATTAGGGGGCAGAGTTTATTTCTTCAGCCCTTGAATATTTGCTAACATCGTGTCTTGCTTTGGCGAACAGAATACGCAGAAACGATGGGTGCTGTTTCCAAGCCTCTCAGTTTCTCTCCTTGTCTCCTCTTACAGGTTCTCAGCTCCCTGCCGCAAGCCTGGGCTAACTTGGCAGAGGATGAAAATTCACATAGAAGAGAGCTGAGTCATTCCTGCAGAGACCATCCTCCGTCAGCCAGCCCGCGGCCAACCTGCTAGCTGACCAAGACGCAGAAGTGAGTTCAGAAAATACTAAGCCAACCCACAGACTTGTGAGCTAAAACAAATGGGTGTTGCTTTTTTTGTTTTTTAAAGGTGCTGGGTTTGTGCGTTTTTTGTTTGCTTGTTTTTTGTTGTACAGGATTATCATGGAAATAGTGATACAGAGTAGAGATTCTATAAATCTGCAATTCTAGCTGTTTTCACCTTAATCTTGTGTCAGCAACCCCCAAATCACAGATGACAAACTTCAGGTGTGAAAGCAATGTAACTTTAATTTTCCTTGACTGAATTTGTTTCCTCTTCGGAGCCCCCATTCCGTCATCAGGTGGGAAATTAGTTATTTAATTCTTGGTTAATTCCAGGTAATCTAGGTCAATACATCTATGGTAGATGTCATTTCTAGTTACGACTATTTCCAGCTCTTCTCTCCTGCTGAGTGCACAGGATGATGGCACTTCCCCGCCTCCTTGGAGTTGGTTGTGACCACAGAACTGTTTATGGCCGGTGAAATGTGAGCAGAAGCGGGTCACACAGGCGGACGCAGGTACTGGCTGATACGCGATTATCCGTGTTCTCTCTCCCTTCAGTGATGGAGGGGCATGTTGATATATACATGCTGCAAAACGAAGTAGCCTGGCATGCTCTGCTACCTCGTGGAGGTCAGCTGCCCTGGAGGGTTGCCGGGGCCTGTAGCTGGCTTTTCGTGAACGAGAAATAAAACTTCGTTTCCAGTCATTAAGTTTTGGAATCCCAGAGGTTCGTTATCCCAGCCTAGCCTAGTTATCCTGACTGATACACTGAATTTTCTCAGTCAATTAAGTGTCTTCCCTGCTTCAAACTCTCTCTCCCAGTGTATTAGGTTTGCTAGGGCTGCCATAACAAAACACCACTGACGGGGCGGCTTTAACAGCAGAAACTAATCTTCTCACAGTTCTGGAGGCTGGAAGGCCGAGATCAAAATGTTGCTGGGTTTGGTTTCTTCTGGGGTCTCTCTCCTTGGCTTGTGGTTGGCTGCATCCTCATCGTGTCCTCGCATGGCCTTTCCTCTACGCCTGTGTGTCCCCAGTGTCTATGTTTCCAACATTGCTTTTTTTTTTTTTAAGACACCAAATTGGATCAGAGCCCACCCCAACGGCCTCTTTTTAACTTAATCATCACTTAAAAGACTCTGTCTCCAAATATAGTCACATTCTGAGGGCTTAGGGGATAGGACCTCAATATATGAATTTGAGGGGACACATTTGTGCCCAGAACATCCTGGAAGTGCCTGTACTTTCTAAAGGGACTTAAATAGGGCTCTAGATCCAGCGGGTGGTTGGGATGGGGACAGTGCATGGACTTGAATCTGTCATACATCCAGGCCTCTTGGTTTCTGGTTGTACTGGTCACACAGACTGCTCCTGCTCCCTGCCTGTCCTGACCCACATGGCCGGTTCCTCCACTCTGTTGGCCACATTTGCATCATTCCTGACCATACAGGAAGAAAAAAACCATCCTGGGCACACTAGCGTGAACAGTACTGGGAACTTCCCCAGGGGCACCTGACATTCGGGGAGGTGCCTAACACTTCTGCTCCACTGCCCTCACACAACCCGCTGCACTGAGAATTTCTCCATCAAAGCTTGCCACCTTTTTTTTAAGTTTTCACCTGGGGACCAAAGCCCAGTGCCCTCTGTTTTTGGATCTGTAGAAATTCTTTGTAGTTTCTATCATTTCCACCCATCTTGGGGCTATTCTGGGATATGGGATATATGTGGGGGCGGGAAGTGGGCCTGGGATTTAGGGACCCTTTCTAGGGACCTGCACTTCCACCAGCATCTAAATCTATTTGCTTTGCCTCTTTCTCTCCCAGCCTCCAGCTGGGTGGGAAAAACCTGCTCTGCCTAATCATGCATTCTTTGGTAAACCAAAAAATTTATTTTTTGTTTTTTTCCTGAACCTTGGCTTTGAAACTCAAAACCTGAGTGTTTGACAGGCTTGTCATCTGGATCCTCTATGGTCGACCTAGCTGGGGGTACGACACGTCAAGCTCTACTTTGAATGGAGAAGAGCCATGAGTTGGGCATGAACTGCTGGGAATTAAACACACCTCACTTAACATATCAAAATTCTTACACCCCTGCATTAGAGTAGAGGAGTCTGCCTGGTAGGATTTCTAACACCAACAAGTAAGACTGTGAGTTCCACTTAGAAAGAATTCAGCTTTCATAGTCAGAACTTAAAAGCTTTGGTTTGTTACCCAAGTTCAAGGTCAGAAAGAGGGGGACAGCTGCTTGGTTTCAGCTGACCACTGGGAAAATTAAAGTCGTTGATTCAGAGGTAGGGTTTGAAATATCGTGCAAAAAATGGAGAATTTCAATATGTGAGCAACACTGATATTACATAAACATCATGAATACTCCCAAGCCAAGCAAGAGCATCTTGAGTGCAGAAATGAATTTGTGATTGATCTAAAGAAGGATGAATAGAGAATGATCTATAGCATTTGTCTGAAACCTCATAAAATTGCACCCAAATACTGGTTTTCCCCAATTTCATTAGTTGTGAATCACTATGTGAATAATGTGTGCCCAAGTTAAACATGAGGGCCTAGGAGATATTTTAAATTAAAAAAAAGTTTAATTCTCTAGGATGAGTTTCTCCTTATGATCATTCAGGTCTAATACGTTGAGATTAGGGCGTTTAACATCCGATTTCTCATTTCCCCTCGCAGATCTCTGTTTTCCATCATCATTTATTTCTCCCCTCTCGTCCTTTCTTTGTGTCATCTTGATCGCTCCCAATTTTTTCTGTTTTTTTTTCTTTTCACCTTATTCTCATTTTCTTCCTCTTACAGAGGAACTGAAAGCAGAGCAAGGCAAAATGTATTTTAAAAAAATAAAGGATGGTTATGGAAGCCAGTATTTAGAGATGTGAAAGCCACGCAGAGACTAGTAATTATCAAAGTTCGCAACAGGTGACCTATGGCCAGCTTCAGCTGTCACAGTGGTTCTCAACAGAACCTCCTAGGGGACACTTTGAAGTGTCTAAAGACATTCTGGTCATCATGATTTGTGGGGATGGTCAGTCCTCCATAAGAATTATCCAGACCAAAATGTCAGCAGTATTCCTGAGGTTGAGAAACCCTGAGAGATAAGCATGTTTGTTTTGATCCTCTCAAGTTTTTTTTTATTCGAATGAACTGCCAACGTTTGGTATATGAAGAAGGAAGTCAAGACTTTAAAAAAAAATCAGCAGAAGGACCTGGCGACACTGCATCCTCATTCCCTCCATGGCTGAGTAGAAGCCATTCTCCTCAGAGAGGGCACATGCTCCCCATTTCCAGTTATAACACAAACTCACTTCATTTATATGTATTATTTTCCTAGACCTTGTAGAAAATTGACTTTGCAACCTTAGTCCTGTGGTTGGCAAACCATGACCTGCAGGCAAAATGTGACCCACCACCTGTTTTTGTAAGTAAAGTTTTATTGGGACACAGTCACGCCCTTTCATGTACATATTTTTCTGTGGCTGCTTTTGTGCTCCTTTGAGTAGTTGTGACAGAGACCACATGGCCTGCAGAGTGAGAAATATTTACATTTTGGCTCTTGACAGAATTTTGCTCACCCTTGACCTAGTCTGTTCAGTTTGTTTGTTGTTAATGTTAATCTTTGTTTGAACTCAGGCTTCCTGTCTGCATCACTGTCATTAGTCCAGACAGGAAATGGCAGTGTGCTTGATCACATAAGCTAAGGTCAATTTTGTTTAGGGACCCAGGCTCAGTCAATACTTTCATATATTGACCATTGTAATAAAACAGTGGTCAGGATCCTCAGCTGAAACATGAGTAATCTTCTTCTTCATCTTTTTTTTAAAATTTAATGGAGGCACTGGGGATTGAACCCAGTGCTAAGCATGCACTCTACCACTGAACTATACCCACCCCCCATGCATAGGCTTCTGAACAGGATTAGTAACACGGACTAGACTAAAATTCACGCTAACTATTCTTTACTGTTGTAAGTGAAAGACATTTACTCCCGTCGTGATTGGCGTAACATGTGGCCGTGAGTTTATAAACAAAATGCCACCTGCTCTGTGGTCTTTCTTAGACCATCAGTCTTGGAAGAAATGAGAAATGAATTTCTTTATGTATTCAGTTGATTGCTTGGCCACCACATAATAAAAGCATTTACACTATGCTTTGTTCCTTTATTCACTGATTTAGTTTAGGGGTCAGCGAACATTTTCTGTAAAGGGCCAGATAGTAAATATTTTTGGCTGCGAGGCTCAGGTGATCTCTGCTGCCGTGGGGCGAGAGCAGCCGTAGGCAGTAGTAAATGACCGTCCGTGGCTGTGTTCAAATAAAACTTTATTTATAAAAATAGGCAGGGAGCCAGATTTGGCCCTAGGCTGTAGTTTGTGATTCCTGGTCTAGTGACATCATTGTTGAGGGTAGGGGTAGCCTAATAGTAGGATTCCTCATTTTCATCCTCATTTTAAATTACCAAATGCTCAGTCTGTGCCTTGTGCCAGCGGCCCAGGGACCTTTATGCTGAAAGAGCAGCTGGAATGGGAAGGGGAGGTGACTTCTGTTTTGGATGCTGCTGCTGGCTCAGTCGAAAGGGAGTACCACCTAGATTCAACCTGGGTGGGCGCGGTGAGAGGAGCACCTACTTGCCCCGACACAGGATAAGGTAACTTTCTCATGAAGAGAGGAAGAGCTGGTGCCTGCTCATAGCTGAGGGGCAGAGCCCGCAGCAGGCTTGCTGGGTTCTGCTCCCCCCACATCTCCATGTCCTCCTCTTCACGGTCTCTGGAGGCTCTTCAAACATGGGCTGTTCCCTCCGAGATATGCAGCCTATGAAAGCACTAAGTGATAATTGACTCTACCAAGGGGATATTCTTTTATTGGGTGCTTTCAAAATCTTTTCTGTGGTTTATTTTCTTCTGATTATAATAGCCACATTTGCTCCTTATCAAAATTTGAATAAGTATAAATAACGCCTGATAACCTACCATTTACTGAGCG